TAGTTACCGTTTGTCAACAAGTACAAAAACCGAGACGCAAGGCTCGAGCAATCGTATCTCCTTTTCTCAAATTGTCCATTTTTGTGCGCTATCTGAGCGCGAATTAAAGAGAAATTACTGCATACGCATTCCGGCATTTGATAAACATAGTATTTATTACAATTTCTCTCAGATGTCTTACAGTCGTTTGTTGAACTCATTTGCTCTTAGGGTTATAACGCAAAAGACTCCATATCATGCATAATAAAAGCACATACGTAATAGCATTTTGTCAACGCGACGCTAATTCATGNTTCGGATAGGAGAGAGCCGGCTGCTCTAGATAGCCCTGAAAGCTGACCTCAATGGAAACTATGCTGACCACAGGAAACTCATTGAACAATTTAAAAATTGTTATTTGACGAGTAAGCTGTTGCAATCTTCTTGAAAAGTGTGTAAGTTGCTGTAATTATACTGTATATATGTTTGATGTTGTTTATATTTTGTTTAAATTCAACGCTTTAGTAAAATATATAATTTAATAAAGAATATCAAAGTATATATCTTTCTTGACCAGATGTTTCTGAGTATACGAGTGTACTCGTTAAAAATAGCTAACTGGTTAATTATGGAGAAGGAGAACGTAATACAGTTGATGGAGTTCGGATGGTTGATGATTCTGATAAAGATGTGTAAGATTAAGTAAAGCAGTCATTGATGATGTAAGAGGGTCGACTGTACTACTTGAGCTCCTTTAAATAATAAATAACGTTGGATCTAAATAAATGTACAAACTAAAGAGTTATTCCTAATAACGAATAATTTGTCTTCGAATATGTTTCGAATATATTCTGTGAATAAATTTGTCAAATAAAATTTGATTCGACAAATGTGTCAAATAAAATTTCATCCGAATAACGTTTCGAATGAGTTCTTGGAGTAAAATTTGATTCGCATAATAAATCAAATAAATTCATCGAATAAACTGTTATTCGAACAATATTTCGAACAAATTCTACGAATATAATAAATAAATTCTGCAGTTCAGAATGCTCGTTTGGAAACAGTTTTATGCACCAAAATGAAAGACGATTGTTTCCCGTAGCCGACAACAATCGAGCAATCAGGTTCGAAGTGTGTTTATACTCTATATCGATATTTTTCTTGCCGATACGCTTCCGGCTGTATTAATGTAACGGTGGAGTTGCGGAAAACGCGATGATCAGTCGGCAAAAAATTTAGGCCGCAAACCTGGCATGGCGGCGATCCGGTTTTAATCTTGGCACGCCCATTACACACTGCACCGCGTACCTATTACATCATGATCGCACTAGATAGCGAATCTATCTATCTATTCCGAGGCCCATTTCTTTGCCTACCTGTGATACGTATAAGCTACAATTAATAACCGAAAAAAATTCCTGGAAACCAGTTCCGAACCGAACGGAGTATTTTGCTGCGGGGTGGCCACGCAACGACGCTCGTCCGGGATGATCTCATTTAATTACCGAGGTCTACTTATTCACTTGAATCACCATCCCTCCGACGATTTAGTCGTTTTTCCAGGCATTCTGTATAATCGATTAGGCCGCGCGGTTACAGAAAACGCACCCACCTAAGACGATCCGAATGTTTGATCTAAGATTTCAGGCAACGCGTACATTTATTTCCGCAGCCGAAAATCCTAATAATAATAATAATCCGTTCACCTAGGTAAAAATCCGACTATTCTCCCTGTTTTTTAAGTTGTCCAAAGAGAGACAGAGCTTTGAACTGTGTTTCAACACTACAGTAATTTTTCCCTAATTCGCGCTCAGATTGCGCACAAAAATGGACAATTTGGGAAGAGGAGATTCGATTATTCGAGGCTTGCGGCTCGCTTTTATAGTTACCGTTTGTCAACAAGTACAAAAACCGAGACGCAAGGCTCGAGCAATCGTATCTCCTTTTCTCAAATTGTCCATTTTTGTGCGCTATCTGAGCGCGAATTAAAGAGAAATTACTGCATACGCATTCCGGCATTTGATAAACATAGTATTTATTACAATTTCTCTCAGATGTCTTACAGTCGTTTGTTGAACTCATTTGCTCTTAGGGTTATAACGCAAAAGACTCCATATCATGCATAATAAAAGCACATACGTAATAGCATTTTGTCAACGCGACGCTAATTCATGAACGTCAGAATTTATGTATTCTATGTTTCAGCGAAAACAGTCGCCATTTCTGCACGCTATTGTGGTGTACATCGATCCATCATTAATTCCTCGCTGTTCTATTTAACAATTGATAAAAAGTATGAAACAACCTGTTCGAATAAAGTGTATAATTTTGCTCATCCCTAATACGAATTGTCGGCGAACAGGCAACAAACTCTGAAAAAAAATGGCCGTCGGTTTAAAGACAATATTTATTATAGATGTAGAAGCTCCGAGCGCGGCTTGTTTAATTTATTTGCACTCGTTAATACGGAGACGCAAATTAAACCCGTGATAGGAGAGCCAGTCCGGCTGTTTTAATGTATACAGCAAAAAAATTGCGGTACACGGAGTGAGTATGTAAATGGTCGCGTAATGTAATTTTTTGATCAACTTGAGCCACGCGGTGCTGGCGCAGATACGGTCGGTTTGTTTTTATAGAGACAAGATCAGTGTTTTCCCCCTGGTCCCGCGAGGCGCGCGTTTTCCGTGGCGCAGATGGGAACAATATGATCGATCGTGTGCACTCTACGCGCCCGTAACTGTTGTTACATGCCAATCCCATTACCATACGCGACGGCTCGCGTCGCCAGTTGTAATTTTCACTTCCCCGTAGAAAAATCAATAATCGATGCCGGTGTAACAACGGCCGTCGCGTTTCCTTGAAACGATACCCGGCTCTGTTCGGTTGCATTTATGCGGTCGGCTGGATTCTTCTTTTTTTTTTATCGTCGCGAGCGCAGACCTCGTTTCGCGAACGAGAGACGCGAGCCTTGGTACGATGTTGCTTCTTGGAAGCGATTCCTGTGTGTCACGCTCGTCCCATATCGCTGCGAGGATATGTTGTTGCGTACGGTTCGTATTTCGTAGCGTCGCGAATTTCAGAAACGACGGCCATATCAGATGGAAAGAAACACGAAGACTCGAGGGGGCACGGCCACCATTTTGAAAGATGGTGCATCCTGCAAGCCGTGCAACCTACACCCACGCAAAGGTAAGCCGGTTGTGAAAACTCGGGCCACTACAACCACCCACGTTCCATTCCCATTGGCTGAGCCGTCCTCACCCATAAGATACCACACCACCCACGGCCCACGGACCCCGTTCAGGTCACTGTCAGACCTCTACACGGTGTCCCGAAAGTATCGGGTCATTTCATGAACTTTGTGCGTTAAACGATCATAGTTACGTTCATATGTCAGTCTAACTTTTGATTCTGTTTTTGGAATTTAGAAATGTCTGTCTCGATTGGATCATTCAATTAGTCCGACAATCCTGTTATAAGTAGACTGCGGGTTATATTTCATTTATGAAAAAATCGAGTAGGTAAAATTTTCAGTAGCTGCAAGATTGAAAGATTTTAAAGACGTTCATATATAATTTTCATTCTATAAAAATTGTTACAAGAAGAAACAACTTTCTGATTGATTTCTACTGCTTTCCAATTAACGCAGACAATTTTTATTTTACATAAAAATCCGCCATTTAGTTATAACGGTTCAGAAATTTAACAGATTCCGTTTTTAACTTATCTCTGAGGTTACGACTAAATAAGTTATGTTATGTGTAACAAATAAGTTAACTATTTACGACGTCTAAATGAGGTATGTTATATTAATCGAGCTATGTCATGATAAGTAAAATCAAGTAAATAAATTATACGATACGTAACGTATAAATGAGGTTACAACTAAATATAATTGGGATAATATAAATTATTGTATACTGTAAATGGGATAATAACCAAATAAGTTAATGGATGCTGCATGTGCATGCACAATTTAATAACGACAAAACCTAGAAGGAGCATAAACTTCTTGAAACGTGTTAAAAAAAACTACAAGACACCTCGCCAATAATTTAAAGCAATTGAAAATGTATTTTAACAATTCGCACATCGTCGCTGAAGTCTGCTGACGCGATCCGTGTAATTCCGCGAAAATAATTTTATAAGCGACGTTCTTTCGGTGTAATTATTCTAATGACCCGCACGTATAGCTGATAGCCTCATCGGGGCTGGTTATCGAGTACCTACTACGACATACCTAAATACTTCGGAATTATTGCTGCAATGTTTACAGAACACTCGTTATCACACGCGAGGGCTACAATATTGCCAATCGTTCTTTTTTTCTCTCATTAAATGGTTTTCTAGTCATTCAAGAGGAAGCCTGAAACGAATTCGTTAAATTAAGTAGTTATAATTTTTCGCAATTTTCTCTGGCGTAAAAAAATGATAAAACTTGTCCGCACTTTCCACTTTATTTTTTGACATCTCAAGGTACATAAATTTTTTCACGTTACATTTTATTGTTTGAAAAAATGCAATGACTATGACAATACGTATGACAATTACGTAAAATTTGTACTTCAATAAAAATCACTCCTTTGTTCTTAGTGCCGTATATTATCATTCTTCCTGCATTTTTTGTTTTAAACAGGGGTTAGGATCAAATGACGTTTTATTATGAAAAAAGCTCCGTTTTATTTTTTGTTCTAGACCGAAAGAAAAAGACTGCTAAGAACTCTGTCGACCGGGAGGTTCGTGAAGAAAAAGATTTATTATTTCAGTAAACGTCGATAAAATGTAAGAAAAACAAAATTAACGTACTTCGAAATGTCAAAGAATATGCAGGGAAAGTTTCGAAAATCGTCATCAAAGTTCCACGTTGTAAAAAAATTGCCGAAAATCATCCTTATTTTAACGACTTACTCGTGGCTCCACCCTTAAGGAGTTAAACTTTCCTAGCAATCATGTAAAAATATTCACTGGGATCAGACTTGGGAGACCTCGACGAAGAAAATCAAGTATTGACGATACAATTGGCGTGAAGAAGATCAACAACTTTATTGTCACGGTGCAGACGAATAACATCTAAATAAGTGACTCAAACTTGGAATTCGTTGGCTGTCCTCTTGATTCACCTTCGCTGGATCAGGTCAAGGCCTCCGTCCGTCGCGTAGTCGAGGGCCGAGGAACGGTTGATGGCGACGAGCCCCTAAAACAGAACAAGCATCAATAAATATCTAACGGTGCAATTCCGTCCGGCATAACCACAGAGCATGATCTCGGGCTGAACGGCAGGCAGCAGCGGGCTCCGCGGCGCGGCGTAGCGCGCGTGCACGCGACTTTCACGCGCGCAGGGACCAAAAGCCGCTTCTAATTTTCAATTCCATATTTTACCGTTGGATTATCAAGTCTGCACGGAGGAATTATAAATAATCTAATCTCGATCTTGCGTCCCGGGACACGCTTGCCAGGTTGCACGCCCGCGGGAGAACCCGTTCCCGCGCCATTTCTATGCGCGAGACCCATGCGGTGCGCCTCCGCCGACCGTAGAACTGAACTATCGCGGGGCTCCTCCGCGATTAGAATCGCTCGAGGTGGTCGTGACTGACGGCACTATCGATGGAACGTCCTGTAGACGGCCGCCGACACTTCGGCTGTTCCCAGGCAAGGTCCTCGCCATGTCGGTTCCTTGGAAACAATTACGCCTGCTGGCTTATAATAACGAGCCGTTCTTCTGGAATCGTAGGTACATTTGTATACGTGCCGCGTACTCACACACCGAGCCGCTTTCCGCGCGAGCATGTGCCTCGGTTGCGAGCCGGTCCGCGCGCTACGAAGATGGATAGGCTCGTAAATCTATTGGCAGAGCGCATTCCCTCGTTTTCGCATCCTACTTTTTCCTTTTGCGCGGGCCCCGACCCTTCGGGGGCCCCCTCTCGCTCCGAGATTTATCGCCTAACGCCAAAATGCCGGGGGCACGTCTAACATGGCCCGGAATGAAGTTGGTTTACCTCCTTCCTGACTCCCGGGACATTCCGATGGCGGATCGACGTTCGATCAGGAAAAATCGGTGTTGTCGCGCCTCCTTGGCCTCCGACTACGCGATTTACAGATCAATCGATCGATCTAGCGTTTATTCCGAACTCGATAAGCTTACCATCGGTGGCTACGAACTGTTACATTTTAGCACGAGCAATTGGGGAGAACTGCCATGAATGGGACACTTTTGTTTAGGCAAAGATAGCTAAAGGAACTAGGCGACCTATCTAATTCTAGTTTGAAACGTTCGATAAATCAATTATTTTACTATAAGTATGTATAGTGTCAATGTGTTTTTCCTACGTTTACTCGCTTCGATTTTAATTTGTTTGGGAAGTGTATTTTGCCTCATTCATCAATTGGTTGCATTGAACAGGCATTGTGGTTGCATTGATCCTATTCATGAATAAGATCTTGGTATTAATTTTATGTGCACTGTTCTTTTATCCATTGTAAGTAAACATAATATTATATAGTAATCGTAAATTACATAAATCTCTTTGCAGCTTTGATAATCCTTTTAATAAAGAGGAACTGAAACAGTTTCAACAATAAAAGTATGTTGAAAAGGACTCCTCGAGTGCAAATATTATTTGCACAATCTGCGCTGTACAGCGGACAATGCAGAATAGAAAAAATTACATTCCTCAAAGTCTCGAACGTTCAGTTTTGTGTAAATCAAAACCAATTCGTCGAGATTTCTAGTTTTCTGACAATGATTCCGGATGTCTATGATATCTGTGACACAGCCAGACTTTACAAACGCAATCATGTACTCGAAAACCGCACTCGGTGGGGTTCAACCGTCAGTGTACCCCCGGAGGGACGCATCTCGCAGAAATTTCTCGCAAAATTTTCACCGAATGCGCCAAGAGATTTCGAAGACGCGTAATTAGCCATCGAATGACTAGCATTTGTAGAAATGCAGGGACTTCCATTTGGAATATATGTATATCCTGAACGACCGATGGGAAATTGGAGAGAAGACGTGTCCTGACTCATGTGGGCCACAAGGCAAACGACTGTATACCGTATATACAATTATAGTAATGGCGGATGCTTTCCAGTTGTTTAAGAACGAAAGAATTATTAGAATTCCGCCGTTTCAATGGCGAGTCCGTCTGACGCGGTACGCAGGCTGTCACTCAAACGCCAATTTACGTATTCCAAACGTATTTCGCAAAATATTGGCTGTCACTCTTCCCCGGGAACCCTGCTATGGTCGTTTCGAAAACGTTTACGCGATCGATACTATCAAATTCGCGAAACGCTTGTAGTGGAGACGGTTCTCGTTTCTAGCAAAAATGCGTATTCGCGTGATGGTGGCTCGGGGCGCCATTTCTCTTCGTCTCCTTCCACCTGCATATCTAGTTTCTTCATTTCGTACGAACACGTCCGGGCACAATTTTCGCTGAAAATTTTTGTGTTTTGCAAAAGACCGCCATTTCTCCATTGCTGATTTTCAACGTCTCTGTGGATTGTTCTCTTCAGTTTGCTTTCAATTGTCACTGCAGTTGGTTATTACACTGTGGACACTTGGTTCCAACATTTCTGTATCGTATCTCAAACTGCTTTGACCTGGTGACCAAATTACCATGTCGAATATTTGATAATAAACGTCCTCATCATGTACTATGTCGATTGACGAAGATTATGTAAAGCAGTAACATCTAAGACAATCAACAATAATATTCTATCTTCGATTTAACTTATTAAAACGTATATATAAATAAATTACGAGAATTTATAATTTGACGTTGTCCCAAACTTCCTTCGTTTGACACACTGTGACCGAACATCGCCATTATGCGTTACATCAATCGTTGAAGGTCCAAGCACATCTGATGTAAAACCGTGATACAGTGATATTCTATAATTGTTTGACCTGTTTAAGGTATATGTAAACACAAAACTTGATATTTGTCCCTATTAGTTCATTTTGCTCAAATATGGATCAAGGTGATTCTCGATTAACGTCGAAGACAATTCTTATTCCAATCAGAAAATCGCGATGGACGTGCGAGAGATTCCGGCGAGGCGGCGCCGCCATGTTGACCGGCGCGGAGGAAGAAATCCATACAGCACGCGGCTCGAAATTTTCTTACGCAGGATCCGTAATAACCCAATAAATCAGGGTAGCCAGGCGGTGCAATTACGTCCCGCGGTTGAAGCTCGCAGAACCCAACCCTTCTCGTAAATATCGGGCTGCGCGACGGCGCAGCATCTTTTCTGGTCTGCTGTTTCTTTTCTGGCGGCCTTTTTTCTCGCTGGTCTCACGACCCCGAGGAGCTTAACCAGAGATCCTCTCTCTGGCCGCAGTACCCCGTGCGCACCGGGGTTGTCGATGATGTCTGTCTGCCGAATCCTCGTGGCCCTTTTTTCGCCTCTTTATCGCGTTCGCCAGCCGGGACGCATAGTGCAACCATGGGAACCAGCGCAACGGGCGAGAGTTAGACTTCGGAGGGTGAGGAGGAGGGGAGGGGGGGGTTTAATTGCCGCCGAGCGATCTGTTAATTCCCAAGTGTCAGCTCCAGAAAGCGGCCCGGCGAAAAAAGCGTGCAGGCATGCAACAAAAGAGGATCCGAGGGGCTTGGCCGTGGTCGAGCGTGCGCGGACTCGGCTCGCGAAAATTTACGATATCCTAGATATCCTAGCCGTCTCGCGTGGAAAACGCAATAAATATCGCGCGCGTTATCTGCGCAACCTGTTACCACGCAAGCAAATGAAGATCGACAACGCGGCGCGTCTCCGCGGCCGCCGCCGCTGCAGCGTCCGCTAAGTGACCAAAATTACAGAGTCATTACATTGCATTGTGACATTTATTGCCTTCGGATAATACCGTGTCATTTAACTGCCAATACCGCCGTGCGTCTTCTTTAGCATCTTAATACGTTAGCTTAATGATTTATCGTGCGCGAACGTTGGCCAACCGGCGGAAACGACGATAACCAAAGACGACATTGTTAATCGCGTTTAAGCGACGCGGTCGCTCCGCTAAAATCGATTGTTTCCGTGAAAAATTGATCGTCGGAGCCCTTCGATCGTCCCCGTTTCATCCATCACGATGAGACGCTCGTTTTTCACGGCGTTTTTTTTTCAATTTTCTCGTACGCGTCTGTTTTGTTCGATGTTCGCACGCGCGGAGTCCTCGGGAGAACGTTAGGCGACGCGTCGTCGTTCAATCAAATCGCGATCGCTGAATGCACGCGGCGGGGCCCGATCGAGACCGGCCTGGAACCGCGGCCTGCGTAGTACCTACGGGTCTCTCGGTGTTGCACGCAGCAAATAAAACGAGCCGGCAGTCGACATCGAAATTATACGTATAGATGGCATTGATGTATGGCCGAGCGGGTTTTGATAGACCGGACGGCCCTCGCAGCCGAGTATAATCGCGCCGCAGCGCATCGTTTTCTCGCCGTCCCGGCCGGAGTCCTCCATTTTGAGTCTGGGCCTCGGTAACCTCGCCGCCACGGCCGTGAAGGTAGCTGATTATTGCCGCTGGTATTCTATCAGGCCGGTAGATAAATTTCATCCCTTCGTCGATACCATTACTGTCATCCCCCATAATTCTCGGCGTCCACCGCACGATAAAGCATCCTCAAAATCCGAAAAAGAAGATAGAAAAGAATGTTCCAAAGAGCAACGCGTGCCAGAATCACGCGAGAGGACGTAAAAAGTCGTCGCCGGTTTTTTTTTCATTTTTCTTTCAGAAGATTTCTGGTTTCGCGGAAGGCTCGTACGTGTAGATCCGAGATTCGAATTCTCGCAGCGAAGAAGTTGCGAACTCGAAATCAGCAACAAGGTAGGGCAACGTTCATGTGGCGTGCCTATCGCAGGTAACGCTGCAACGGGCAAGTCTGTGGACGGAACCTCGGCCCCGGGATATAAATCTTCCGCCGACAGATGCGCCGCCCTCAACGTTCGCCATCGACCAACCAACCGACCAGAATTTCCGAGGGTAACGCCCTGAAAAACCAGACTCGCCTTGGATGCCGGCTGCATTTGCATGTCATTTCGTAAGCGATTACACCCACCCCGAATGCCGCGGTGCAGTCGAGAAACGCGAGAATCCCATTCAGCTGCGTAGATCTTCCGATGCGAATCTCTCGATACCTATCGGGACGCGTCTAGGAACGTCGAACTTCGATCGGAAATCGGGTTTGATGCGTC